GTGGTATCATCATTGTCCAAGAATTATTAGTTTCCAGATCACCCCTGCCAGGTACAATGCAGAAGAAAAAGAGGGGAGACCAACCTTACTGTCTCCATGTATACCTCGGTTCGGCCCCTCGATGTGGTCCCGCCGCCGACTGATCGCCCGTAGGGCCCGACAGCTTGTTGCTAAGAAACATGGTGGATGACCCGACGGTCTAATATTAATGTCCAAGGGGTATCATGTATGATATGTCTATAGATACAACAGGCTAAGATCAAATCGCAAGACACCGCAAAGCAATCGAAGTTTTGAAGGCTTGTAGAATCGGAGAATCAACACCGGACACTCAATCCATAAGTGTACCCACGTATTCTGTCTCTTTCATTCCCGGCCACGCCTTCTTCCCTGCTAATGCGGGCCACTGGACCAGAAATCGATCGGCCAGAGGCAACAGAAGCTTTCCCGACAGGCTCAATGTAGTCACACGAGCCCATGATTCAACGAAGATTGTGCGCAGCTGGTAGGTACCCGGCGCGAGCACTGGCGCTGTTGCAGAGTCACTTTCTGATGTCCTTTTTCCGGGCGCAAAAGGAGAAATCAGCCCGCACAAAAACAGCCATAGACGAAGTAGCCGGGCGGCAACGATGACGCAGACCGCGGTGGCAGGGCCATTGGTGAGGATGAGGTCCGGGTATGGAGGGGATAGATGCGACGCTGGGCGAGAATGCCGGCTCTGGTCCGGATGAAGACCACGCAAGACCGAGAGACAGGACCAGAAGGAATTCAGTGTGGAGAAAGGCGCAGTAAGGTAGGATTGGTGTACGCGACGGGCGCGGGGTACCGTGACGATGGTGTAGGAGGGTTCTGGTGATGCGATTTTGGCATTGGAATTGACATGATGGTTTATATGGGTTGTTTCGAACTCAACAGCTTTCGTCGCGCTGAAATTGTCCCCAGAGCTTACGATGTAGGTTCGATGGGTGTATTTGGACGGATCTAGGTTCATGCGCCGGAGCATAGAGAACATCTCGGCTGTGTGGCCGCCGCTACCGAGGACGACTAGGAGATGAACCGGGGAGTTTCGTGGGCGCCATTTGGGGACTTGGCTGTTTTGTGATTTGGCGAGAGCGTAGATGAGGACCTGAAAGTTATCGAGTGGGTGGATTAGCTTTGGTTGTATAGGGGAGATGATGTGCAAGGAATTGCTTACAATGAGCGTAAATATGCAGGCTATGGCAGTAAAGCCGATAGCCAGGAAGAGGCTAGTCCAGGACAGCCATGACTCCATGGGACTAAGAGGTTGCTGTATGTATTGTTTGAGATGAACCGACGATGTGTTATTGAGGATGTGGCAGGTTCCAGAGTTGTCGCAGTTGTCGCATGCGGCCGGCGGAACGAATGAACTCTATGTATATAGTGACAGCGCATTAAAAGGCGGAGACTTCTTCAAACCTTGTCAAACCAACCCCATAGCTAGTTACGACAATAGCTGGGGAGCGACAAGTGAATGAGGAGTAATTGTTGCGGGGGGCGTTAGATGCTTGGGGATCTATCTGGAAGCTGGATAACTATCCAGGCACGTGGTCCGTGCTAGTCTCGGCGATTATTTTGGTGTTGTTGTCTTAACTCCTTCCTCTGATTTTCCCCCATCATCCATCCCATTTCTTATCGTCACCGCCATCAATGTCCACCTACACGGCTTGAGATGGCTTCATTGTTCGCTAAGCGATTCAAATGCTTTTATTGCGGGCGTCGCTCGGCCCACTCCGACAGCGATACTGCCCGCAAATGGCGTTGCAAACATTGCGAAGCCGTCAACTACCTGGATGAGGTAAGTCCTGTGTTTTGTGTATTCCGGCGTCAAGCAATGTTTCAAGTACTGATTGCCTCGGCGGTTGCGCTCCATAGAAAGGAGAAATCACGGATCCTCCCGCTGCAGAAACAAATCCAGACGTCTACGGTCCTGGGGCATCAAGCCCGCCATTCGAATCCACCGACTTTACAGCCTCCAGCTTATTCTGCGCCCAATGTCTTCGAAACCAACACCTCTTCACCAGCGCTTTGGCGTCCTATTTTCCATCGTCTGATGATCCGAACTACAGCGCATATGAGAAGGAGTACCCCAAATTTCGCAAGAACTTAGAGGAGCGTTATCCGCAGGTGTGCGTCAAATGCGAACCCAGAGTGAAGCAACGCATACGTCAGGCAGGATATGAAGCCAAGTCAGACCACCTGAGACGCATGATGGACCGGAGTAAAGCTGGAAGGGCCGCTCGGCAAGCACGTCGATGGAACTGGAGGAACCTGTTGGTCTTAGCTGGTGCTCTGGGTTACTGGATTAGTGTTGCTGGTCAACTTAGCTGGAATGTGTGGAGTGCTTTGACTGTTGAGGAGTGGGAACCGCTGCAGGATCCAGACTCCCCCTCGATGTCGCCCTCTATTTTCTCTTGCGTGAACCTTCTCTTCGAGACCCGCCGCGTGCCGAACCATTGCTCAATAGACCTGGCACCGTACGCCGGTCTTGCGCTGATTGCGGGCATCCTGTCCATTTGGTGGAACCCGAAATTGCGACTCAAGGTTGAAGGGCGAGGAGGTCGCTTCGTCAAACTAGGAGAGTACTACCAGGTTCAGCTCATTATTTTGGTGGTGCGATGCGCTTTCTGGGGCGTCTTAAGGGATCCGTCATCAAGCGGACTGCCACCAGACCTGCCACCAACACTGCATCTCTTCATGATCTTCTTCACGATTATGGTGAGCTAAACATCTGACAACTATTATCTGAGCCCAGCATGCTAATAATTTCTCAGTCTGTCATGGTCTCCCGGCGGATAGTGCGCTACGATACCCGGCCATTGGTAGACTGGACCGATGACACGCCCGCAGCCACGCCAAACCGCAGAACCGAAGCTTCCCCTCCGCCCTCTACGACTACCGGACAGGAGTTTTCGACCCCAAGCTCCAATCTTCGGCAGCGCACCTCTCGTTTCCCTCTCGAAAAGCTAGGCACCCCAAGGACGACCACACCGCGGGCAGCCCTCGAGACCCCAACCATTCCCACACCACCTCCAGAATCTGATGACATGGACTGGACTCCCTCCGTGCAGCACGAACTCACACCGAGTGTCAGCGTTCATCAAAGGGATCAGAAGTCCGTGCTCGATGGGCCGATGCCTTTCTATGGATCCGTTCCTGCTGCACCACAGCCACCCGCATGGAACCTGCGCAATAAACCCGCTCAGCGTGTGAAACCAATCGAACAAGTCGTTGAACGCAACCCATTCCACCGCACTCCTACTCAAAACCTCCGATGGCATCGCAACCAAAACAGCCCAGACTCAGTGTTTGCACCTCCCAAGTTTTTCCCTGTGAGCGACCATGCTGCGACTACCGGACTCGAAAGTTTGTTTGACCGAACCTTCACTATCAAGTCGCCCGAGGATGAAGAGGACAGCTCTTGGCAGTCTCACCATCAATCATCGAACTCACACTCTCGCCAGTCTGCCAACTTGCGGGGTTATTTTGTGTACCAATATCTTCGATTAGGCCTGCTACTTGTCTCACTCGCTGCCTGGGTCCTGTCCCAGTATGACCGCTTGTCAATTCCAGGGAACTATGTAGAGGTGGCCTCCTTGGGCAGTGCTAGCTTGATTGCTGGATTCGCTCTTTTGGAGGCCCTCAAGCAACCTATAGTGCAATGGAACGGCATGGAAATTCTTGTTTACTTTGCGGAGCTTGTGGCAGCTGTCCATCTCGGCGGGAACCTTCCGCGAGTGTCAATCGAGCGCCATTACTTCGACAGATACGGCCAGCTGCTTCTGGTGTTCATGGCGGCCCAGGAGGCGCTTGGTCTGCTCTCGCTATACAACATAGCCAGAGCAACAAGCACTGGTCCTCAGCCACAACAATCGGGGCATAACTCGCCATCGAATGGCGAGAATCCCGGACATTCTCCTCAACCGGCGATCGATAACCAACCTCTGCAGTCATTCACTTCTCAGCGGTCTGCGCCGCCCCTTTCTTTCTCTTCTACTGTCCCAACCTCTAGCTTTGCGACACAATCGCCGGAGCCGTACTACTCGCTTGCCCCTTCCCCATACGACGGGTCTTCCAGCAAGGATCACAGCTTCAGTCTCAAAAGTCTGAAAGGGAACGATTCCGACGCCTCGGATTACTACGATCGAGACTCAGACACGGAGACAACCGTGACTACCGCAACCACAGCTACTAGCAACACTGTCCGGAACATCCGGTACGGACGAGCCGCCAGCGAAGCGATGTTCTCGCCGCGACGAACCGAGCTGGGTCCCGGAATTGGGGGGTTGAGTCTCGAAGATAGGCCCGCCCGGCGAGTCACCCGGAGCCAGTCGAAACTCCAAGGCGAGGGCTTTCGTCGATTCCCGACTCGGGGCCTGAAATAGGCCTGTTTCTGATCTTTTTTGCTTCTGTCAGAATTTTCCTTCTTGTGGTTCTACTTTCGCATTCTGTTCCAGGGTGCATCATCTTCAGCGCTTGCACTAGAGGAGTTGGGTTGGCTGTGCCTTGATTGTATTCAACCTGTTCACACTGTTCATACGCGGGTCGCATATTGCGGGGGGTTGTTGTACTTCTGTTCTTCGTTTACTATTTCTTCTTAGGTCCTCGTGGAGATTGTTTCGGGTGTTTGGGGGGTTGTACATAGCAGGTAGAGTACATACGACTTATGAATGATGACTGAATATCATACAATGTGACTATCCCAAGGTAAATTTTGAGTATGTCGAACTTATTCCATCCTGTATGTACACCACGAGTTCTAGTGAGCTGACCAGTAACTACCGTAGACATGCGTGATTGTCAGCAATTGCATGTCTCAAACCCAACCCAAGACAAAACCGTTATAGCATATTATAGTGAACCCAGAAAACTAGAAGATGCGATAGCACATGTTCTAGTCTTCATACATAACCGCAGAGTAGTATACATAGCATACAGTAGTCTATAGCAATATAGTAATCTATCGTACATGAAGTAGAGCGATGCAATATGAAGTGAAGAGGGTAGTAATCTCGTATCTAGACCCACCCAAGTTTAGTCGCAATAAACCTAGCGAGTTCCTCTATAGTAGCTGCATCCTCTTCCGCCCCCAACTGTTCGTATAGAATCTCTTTCCAGTGGGTCGGCCGGATCTCGTGAAGCTTACGCCCCTTGAGTGCCTCCTGCAGACGGGCAGCCTGCTCCGAGCCGACGGAGGAATCGGACGAGACGGAGATGTGGCTCTCCAGGATGGCCCCGTGTTTGAGGCGGAGAAACACACGTGTCTGGGTCGTTTAATTAGGTTAGTTATAGATTCTTGCTTACTGATGCCAAGAGAAAGGGAAAGCGCCATCTTACAGAAGGAGGTAGGGATGATGGAAGGGCGGGGCGTTCGCGAGGATCCTCTTCCACGGGGTAAGTCGAGAAGATGAATTGGGGCGTTTGCGTGTATTTCCATTCCAGCGACTGTTGCAAATTTTCAATACTGTGTTAGTTTACGGTTTCTTAGCCTTGACTTGTCGGGGTATCGAGCAGCGACTCACTCGTAATTCGTCGATGCCTTTCTTGATCTCGGGCTCTTCGTAGCCTTGGGCTTCTCCCACCGCTCCGACGACCCAATCGTCTCCTGCGTATAGCTCTGCGTCGTGGACATAGGCACGCTGCGCGCGGCGCACAGCATCCGGATTGGTCTGGTATAGCTCTGCAAACTCCGTCATGATATTGGCGATCACGTCTTGGATTCCGAATGGGATGGAGGCGTCGGCGAACACGGACGATACATTGGCGACGGGGGATCGCACACTTTCCACGCCTTTGGCCTTGATGTAGTCTCTTGCGGGCGATCGTAAGAACGAACCGAGGGAATTGATGTTGGGCGAATCGAGTAGGCAGGTGCCGTGGTGAAGCGCGCGGTGTCGCGTAAGCTTGAACGCTGAGCCGGAGATCTTTCGAGGTTGGGATTGCCCTTCGTCAAGGGACATGACGATGTCGTGGCGGTCATTGACGCTGGTCGTGGTCGCTCCGACACGGTGCAATGCGCGCACGACCATCTCCGCATGTTTGTTGCGTGTGAATGTCGGTCGCGGGGAGATCACGCTGTAGTTGAGATTGCCCTCGTCGTGAAAGACGGCACCACCGCCAGACCGTCGTCGGACGTAGAGCGCATCTTCGGTGTCATTGTAGGAGTGGATTCCGTGCTCCGCGGTTCCGCGGTCATTATGTAGCACTCGAAGGTTGGTCTCGAGCCATGGGTTCTGATTGCGCCCGATTACCACGCACGGTCGGTTGATATATAGGAAGAGGATGTTCGAGTCTGCTGGCGCATGCTCCAGCAGAAAGTGTTCGATGGAGAGGTTCACGTAGGGATCGGTGGAGAGAGATTGGTAGATTTGGTGTCGGGAGGACTGGCGACTGGCGAGCTGGGCGAATTGGTCGGCGGAGAATGAGGAATTCCACCGCACGGCATTAGAACGCAGGCTGGCGCTGGGATGGGGAACTCGGAGCGACGATAGCCAGCATGTTGCTCGAGAGGAGAAGAGACGCATTGGAGGGTTTAGAGAGCTGCCGAGCAACTCATGGCCAGTCCAGAACAGGTAGAGAGGAAGGGAAAGAAAGCAAGTGAAGATGGTGACAATACTGTAAGTATCATCATAATGCAAGATACCAGGCGTACCTTCAAAACAGACCGAACGGTACCTACAGTCGGAGAGGATGATGGACCAATGGGGGCCAAGGAACGAGGCCGATCTCGCCGGGAGCTAAACCGCACACGATCAAAGTGGCAGCCCGACGTGCCATTCCTCTCTCCGAGACTCCATCCAGACTTCACTTTTCTTTCCGTCTGCCCCTCGCTTACTTTTCTCCTCCTCTTCCTTTCCCCTCCATTCTTCTTATTTGGCCTCGTTCTCCCTCGATATCCTGCCTTCTTCGACTTCTCTCCCATCCTCTCCCTACAGAACCCACCTTCTCTTCTCCCTCCGAACCCTATCAATCAATTGAATACCGCCCGCCATGTCGACGTGGGGTGATTACTTCCGGGTCACCACGTAGGTCTTCTGAGTCAGCCCCAGTCTATGATGATGGTGACATCGCACACCATCACCACCACACAGACACAAACACCTCTGTCCATATACATGCACATACTAATTGCGCTCTTTCTCTTTTCAGTTACGGTGAATCGCACTGCCGCTCCGTCGGCTGCATCGTCGATGGCTGCCCCCCCGGAATGGAACTCACCGAGGACGACATCCAGCCCCAGATGACCCGGAGACGTCCCGGCCAGAGTGCTCTGACGACGCCTCGTAATGAGAAGGACCGCGTTGAAATCCAGTCCGGAACGGAGTTTGGAGTTACACTGGGAACTCCGATTGGCATGATGGTGCGCAACGAGGACCAGAGACCCAAGGACTACGGCAACAGCACCATGGACCTGTACCCCCGCCCCAGTCACGCCGACTTGACCTACCTCGAGAAGTACGGCGTCAAGGCCAGCAGCGGTGGTGGTCGCAGTAGTGCCCGTGAGACCATTGGTAAGTGAACCGCTCATCTCCAGAAGGGAATGCCGTTAACACAATCTTCCCCGGGTTACAGGCCGTGTGGCTGCCGGTGCCATCGCCGAAAAGTACCTGCGCCTCTCGCACGGCGTTGAGATTGTCGCCTTCGTCTCCTCCGTTGGCAACGAGCACCTGTTCCCCCCTACTCCCGAGCACCCCACTGCCTCCACCAACCCCGAATACCTGAACCTCCTCAAGACCATCACCCGCACCACCGTCGACGAGTTCGCGCCTACCCGCTGCCCCAACGCCGATGCCGCCGCGCGCATGACCAAGGTGATCGAGCAGTTCCGCGACAACCACGACAGCATCGGCGGTACCGTCACCTGCGTGATCCGCAACGTCCCCGTCGGTCTGGGTGAGCCCTGCTTCGACAAGCTCGAGGCCAAGCTCGCCCACGCCATGCTCAGCATCCCCGCCACCAAGGGCTTCGAGATCGGCTCCGGCTTCGGAGGCTGCGAGGTCCCCGGCTCCATCCACAACGACCCCTTCATCGTCTCCGATGTCCCTACCCAACTCGGCACCAACACCACCACCAAGCAGCGCCTTACCACCAAAACCAACAACTCCGGTGGTATCCAGGGCGGTATCTCCAACGGCGCCGACATCTACTTCCGCATCGCCTTCAAGCCCCCGGCCACCATCGGCCAGGCCCAGAACACCGCCACCTACGACTTCGGCGAGGGTATCCTCGAAGCCAAGGGCCGTCACGACCCCTGCGTCACTCCCCGCGCCGTTCCCATTGTCGAGGCCATGTCCGCGCTGGTCGTCATGGACGCCCTGATGGCTCAGTACTCCCGCGAGAGCGCCAAGTCTCTTCTGCCCCCGTTGCCCAAGACCCTGCCCACTCGTCCCACTCTGGGTACCAACGGTCACAGCGCTTAAATAGGAAGTGGTTCGATTTAATTCTATTTTGTTCTGGGTTCGGGGTCTCTAGTCTAAAATTATCACGATTGGCTCTTTGAAGACCGATCTATGCATGCGGGGTTTTTCATTTTCTATCTTAGAATGCAGTGACGTACGTCATGTTCGGCTGATGTTTGATGTCTCAAGTCAGAAACTCAACTTAATGACTTTTTTCTTTCCTTATTCTTCTCTGATTGATCTTTGTTACTTCGGTATATTATATCACCTTACCATTTTTTTGGATTATGTTCGTATAGATTTCTCGGGTGTGGTTACGAATCAAAATGGCGTTCTACGTTCGTACTACTATAACAGATGAGTCATGTGTTCAATAACCTCGCTTGTTATCGAACAGTAATTCACTATCTAGGAACTAACCATTTGGCGTAATCGGTAATTGAAAGTTTGAGGAAGTCGAACAAGGTTTTCAAATATCATTCAAATTCATGTATATTCATTCGACTCATAGCTCGTCAATTGCACGACCTCATTGACATCGTCCAATCCATTCATCCAACCGTTTGCATAAAGACATTGAACGAAGAGAAAAAAGCATCAACTATCAGAATAGAAAGGTAACAACAAATGTGTAACGAGTGTGGTATCATATCTTATCAAACAAATCAACGATCAAAAACCCGTATGTAATATATGTATGGATGTGGGTAAGTATGGATGTATGTATCAACCAGATACCCACATGAGAGAAAGAAAAGGGCGAATGAAGCTTATCACCGCAAAATTGGGTGCTCAGAGGAATGGAAAAAGAAGCAAGCACTGCTCACTTCGCGGCATCACTATTGCTTCTGCTGACGGACTTCTCGGAGAATGTGTCCAGTTCGCCTGCAGTAGCGTTGACGACGCGGAGTTTCTCCTTCGGTACGGTGAAGGTTACCTGGACGCGACGGCCTTCTGCAGCACCTTCCACGTCCCAATCGTCGTCGCTGTCTGGATCGAGGTCTAGGAATGCGTGTAAGGCGGTGTCATCTCGTGAGGACCGAGCCTGGAACTCCATATTGCGTGAGAGTCGGTTGGCTGCGCCCCAGTCTTTGGCACCTTGCTTGCGTCTGAAGAGTTCAGCTGATGCGCTGACGGAGCGACGCGGGAGGCCGTAGCCTGTAAAAGATGAGGAAGGACCGAGAACCGTGCCTCTTCGGTCGATACCAGAGGCTAGGGGTGCTGTGGTTGGATCTGTGTCCGTTGCCGGGCGTCTCCGTGTTAGGGAGAGGACTCTGCGAACGTTGTTGCCGATCCATTCGGATGTGCGTTGCTTGGGGAAGGTGGTAGGCTTGGGGAATAGATCGAGCGGGGAGGTCGGTTCAGGGTTGTCGCGAAGAAGGTGCTCGCCTTCAGCTTGTCGAAGGGAGAGCGAGGTGTGAGCGGTGGAGTAGGAGTCAGAAGAGTAGCGCTTCTCGGATGAAAGCGCTGCACTGTTCGGTCTGCTTCGGGCTGGTTCTCGACTCGGGATCGAAATCGTGACGGACTTTTGAGGAGACTGGCGCCCACTACTTGCTTGACTCGCGGGGTAGCTGAAGTTGGCCATGCGAGGTTGAGGGATTGATTTGGCCGACGTCGAGGAGTCGGAGAGGTTTGAAGATGTCCGTTCATCCTTATCTGGCGAAGAAGGCATGTCTCTGTCATAGCCAACTCCAGCCATGTAGTCGGACGGGCCGGCCGAGCCACCAGCATATGAGTCTCCGCATACGGTCGTGCTCAAGGGTGTCAGGATTGTTGACTCGGCCCGAAAATTGTCGATTGTTTTCTGCGTGGAAACGCCCACGGCATCTTTGGCTTCATCTTCCTCACGTTCATCGATCGGGTGAATATCGCCTGTGGCATCACTCCTTCTATACTCGCTGTATTGCGTAGGGGGTCGATACATTCTGGCGCTCAGACTAGAACGACCTGTAGTTGTGGGACTAGGATCCCCGAGCAGACCAGTGCTTTCTGCGACTGCATCGCCTGTATCCTGCCAACTGAATGGTCGGCCAGATCCACTATTGCTCATCCAAGGGTAGTCACTTCTGACTTCGGCCTCCCTCATGGAGGGCTTGTGGATACTGCTCGCCATGAAAGGCTCCCCTTGACCCCAGAAGTGGGCTCTTTCTGCCCCCAAGGCTAGCTTGCGGAGCTCCTGATCTCGCACGCGGCGCTTTTGGCGCCTCTTCCAGAGGAAAAATAGGAGTATAGCGAGACCAGCAACGACAGGAATCCCCAGCCCAACACCAACTCCGACCCCAGTCTTCCATGTCTTTGACGAGCCAGAATGGGAGGACTCCTGTTGGCTAGCGATGGATTCAGGATTCCGGTAGGATGAGACCCATTCCTCAGAGGTGATATTATATAGATAGACCTGTGAGTTGGGCTGAGATTGCTTAGCTGAACGCTTTGACGAGGATGATGACGACTGCGGTATAGTATATCCGCCTGCCACCATCATCACACCACCCGGCAGCATCGTTGCCCCATGCCCATAAAGACCGCTCCCTCCTGTGGTCTCCGTATCCTCAGTTGAGAGTATGTTCCAAGTCCAATCACCAGAACCTCCATACGTTTCTCCCAATTCCAGTATGACTAGCTGCGGTTGAGCAGCAATGCTTGTATTCCCCACCCAGCCCCCGTACACAATGACCTTGCTGCCATCTGGGGAAAGAACTGCGGTATGCCCCGATCTCGGCTCTACCGTGGCAACTTCCCTCACAGCAAGCTCAGTCTTGTAGGAGGTAGAAGTAATGTCGACTGTGACGAAGCTCCAGCTATTCTGGGGCAGTGAGAACACGGCAAGCTGCGACATATTGATGAATGCATCCTGGGTTTGGCCACCAATCAGGAGAAAATCCTGTTGCTGGCGCACCTCGCCGTTCGATGAATATGCATAAGTGGCTTGCAACGGAGTCACGGTAAAGCCGGCCTCTGCAATCGGGGGTGCGCGATTGCCGGTGGTGGATGCATCATAAGCATCAGTCTTGCCCGATCCGGATGGCTCAAGGACCACCATGGACTGAGAGTAGTTGGCGCTACCCATCCAATTTGCGTCTGAGGCATTCGAAAAGGGGCACATCCCGCCAAAAGCATAGACGGAGCTGTCGGAGGTGTTGGTGGAG